GGTCTCCAAGGGAATGCTCCCTTTTCTCTGCAACAACTCTCCTACCTCTCGCTCTCAGGACTGTCCCCTGCCTTTCACTGGGGAAGATGGAGGTCTTGGTTGTTATTATGGCTTTGCTGAGCTGGACTTTATGTCTGTGTTTCGCACTGCATTCCTAACCTGTGATATTTAGTCATTTGTATCATGTTCATCATAGGTGCTGAATGTCTATGCACTGTAACTTGTGGCATTGCACTGCAGGAGGGGGTGGAAGGGCAAGCACCAAGAGGGTGGCCTGACATCCCAAATGGCAGTGAAATAAAGCAGAGCAGTCTAACCTCTAAGCAACCAGCAGCCTTGTCCTGCCCTGGGCCATACCAGCAGGGGCTGCAAGGTGCATGGACTACAGTAGTACAGGCCACAAGGCCCCCTGGGTCACACGCTATGTCAGCACCCCAGCCTCTTTCAGTCCCCCAATTACAAGGTCCCCCACTGCACTGTGCTGCACAGAGCCCCAGTATGCAGTCTGCACTATGCTCTACTGCTAAGTGGAGCTGGAGAAAGGAGCTGGAGTCTGGAGAGCCAAGCTGCTGCTGCTGCAGCTGGAGTAACAGGGGAGCATCTGCTGCACGGGAGCCTTCAGGCCACAAATTAAGCTCTGGGGGGCTGCACGTGATCCCTGGACAACCTTGAACTAAAGCAATAGCTGCCTTCATGTCAGCAAGCCATTTCTTGAGGAGGGAGAATTCAGCAATGAGTAGGTTAGCTGGAGGGAGGGGTTTTTAACATCAGGCCAGGAGAAACTGGTCAATGGGTACTGTATGTGGCAGGTGGATTAGAAGAGGCACACTATTTCCTGGGGAGAGAAACTGATTTTTAACTAAACAAGTCTGAAGGGTCTGACACAGACTTTACTGCCCATTGGTTACATTATCAAACAAGCCCACCTGTGCTTGTCTCTGTGTTGCCCTCGCACTAGGAGCTCCCTAGACACAACCTCAGAGTCACTGCACTGATGTCTCCTGCATTCCTCCATAAAACTCTCCTTGCTCCAATGCCTACAAAAGTTTTACGCCAAAGAGGCAGCTGGTCTGTGGAGACGGCTGCTTGTCATGCTGACCAACCTTATCATCTCTTGGTGCTCCCCCAGCTCTTGGTCTGAAACGAGCTGTCTTTCTCCTGCTTTGCCCTAGACCACAAGCCCTTGGAGCACAATGTGTCCTTTTGTCTTCTGTAATAAGGGTCTTAGTTCCTTGTCCTGCTGGGGCGCCCGGGCCTTGCCATGATACAAATAATGAATAACAATTTTAGATAAAGCTGTATAGGGGTTGAGTGAACAGATGAAGCTTTAAGAGCTGTGGTTTTCAACCCTTTCTCATTTGTGGACCCCTAAAAATTTCAAATGGAGGTATGTACCCCATTAAATTATAAGTGTGGGTATTTACATACTTTTGATTGATCATAGTCATATTTTGCAGACCCCTTAGACATAGTCTGCAGGCCCCAGGGGTCTGCAGACCACAGGTTGAAAATCACTGCTTTAGAGCTAAAACCATACCTGTAGCCACTCCTGCCTCACTCCTACATTACTCATCTCAGTCCTAATTTGTTGTTTGGTTCCCCAAGTACAGACATCTCTTTTTTTGCCAGCATTTCATGGCATTCAAGCATGAACTCTCCCCTGTACCTGAAAACAAAAATGTCACCCTGGTGATTTCCCTACTCCCACCTTTCTGCCAGGTACCAGGCCTCACTAAGGTTCCTCAACTGATCTTCAGGATGATGAGCATGGTTCCTGGGCTAGGCCAGCTAATGTTAAGGTCTCACTATAGACTGGCTGGCAGGAGGTACTTGTGAAATAAGCACCCTGTTACCCCATATAAGCCAGGATGCATCTCTGTAACAAGGTCAAGTAGCCTGAGAAAGGGTAAAGACAGCCACTGTGAAGCCACAATGGCAGCCTAAATTCTGCAATGTTCCTACTGGCAGTCTCACTGTGAAGCAGCCTGGATGAAGAATAAAGTTTTCCATAAAAGCACAAGTGGCAGAATTAACTGAGACTTACTGGGAGGAAAGGAAAACAAATTATTTCCAACCCAGTCTAAGCCAACTGGACAGTTTGAAATCTAGAAACCAAGGCTGGAAATCTGCATGGAGAAACTCTGTTTTGATAGGACTGGCCTGATGTAAAAAAAAATCCCTTTCAGAAGTAATGGTCGATAGTCAGGCCCCCGTATTGTTTTGACTGAATACATACTTATTTGCTCCATGTATATACACATAAACATATATATTCCACAAGAGCCAATGCCCGTGTGTGTGCATCAATACACACCTATGTACAGGTGTGTGTATATTGACATGAAATATAGACGGTGTACATCTCACACCTACCCACCTTACCCTATGCAGAACATAGCACAATAGCTCATCACGCCTGCTCCATAGCAGTCATTTGAGTTACAGCAAATTGCTCCACTGACAACAAGGTGTTAACCTACTGGCTCTTAAGATGCAATACTTTTTTCTGTCAAGGCACCTATCTTGCCCTTTCCAATGCAGTATGCAACTACTTCAGTCATTAAAGGTTTTTATCCTCTCAGCTACCCAAGGAGTGTGCAGGGAGGGAGAAAACTGCACTACAGAGTAGGGGGAGTGACTTGCCTGAGGCCAGACAAGAAGGTTGTGGCTGAGCCAGGAACTGATCTCAAGTTCCCTGGATTCTTTTCAGATTCACGCACCACAGCCCAGTACAGACATTACACTTTTACCAGTATAAGTGATTGGAAACCAGTCTATACCCACAACAGAACTGAAGTGCAGCACACATACACTGGTCTAAAAATGGTGGAACTTGGTTCAGGCAATGAATACAGGGTGCTTGTGGGTGCACATGCATTCCCCCGAGCGTGGCCATGCACCCCCTACAAAAAGGCGCTGCAGACACCCTGCTGCTGACGCCACCAGTGGCATCAGAGGGGGGTCTGCGATCCCCACTGGCCACTGCCACTGCTGCCTGAGGGTGGTCGCCACCCCTTGGTCAGCACTCACCACCCCTCACCCTGCTGCCGACAGCACCAGTGGTGTCTGTGGGAGCTCCCCCGCTTATCACCACCGCGCTCCTGCTGCCACCTCTGTGCTTCCACCGCTGCCATGCCCCCCCAGCCGCCAGGGACACACGTCATTCATGACTTGGTCTAAGATTTCCCCATCTCTCCCCACCAAAGGGCAAGTGTCTACTCTATTTACTACTGACCTAAACTATGCCGCTTACAGAAAACCTCAAACTTAAGATCTATTCTGTTTCGCGGTTTCTGATGTTTATAACTAGCCCATACAAAAATTCTTTAAAGACACCTTTAGTGCAGGTAATATAAGAGAAAGAGTACCACAGGAGCCACTGGGAGGGAGACACTTAGAATTATCATCTTTTGACTAGCTCTTATGAATGTAAGTATGCATATACTCATATGTATGGATGTGTATGGCTAGGGACAGAAGTTACATATAAACTGGTTTAAAGTGATCAGAAACTGGTGTAAACCTGTAATAGAACAGAAGTTCAGTGCATTTCCTGAATCAAAAGTGATTGTCTGTTCATCTTCTTATTGGTTCAATCTTTGCAGCTTAGACTAACCTGCAAAGAATAAAACAATTCAGCCTCAGGCTTTTTGACTGTTTGTACTTAGCTGCCGAGCCCATATATGCAACCACACCTATGCCTGCTCTTTAGTTGTAAGTTTGTGCGGCTCCCCTTAAGTGCTTCTTCCATAAGCCTGCCACTTATGTTCTTCTCAGACATAAAAGGCTTCAGCTATCTCAGATCCCAGCTAGCAAAACTCTCCACTTCCACTTTGATAAATTCTGTAAGAGCAGCTGTGTGTTTTCAGTACAAGCAATTAGAGGCTCTGCCCACATACCTCTGAACGGCTCCACTGCAGTCAGCAGCACTATGCCTTTTTACATTTAGCCGAGGACTAAACCTATTGTTCTGCTACATACTCAAAAAGTAGGAGCAGTGTAAAAATCAACTGAACGTGGGATCAAGGTAAATAGCTGTAAGCAACCATCTCGCCTCTTTTCATATGTAAATTTAATAAAGCCATTATTTCTTCATCATTCTGGGTTGTCCACAACCTCTAGCCTAGTTGTATTGCAGGGCTACAGACTCCACAAAAGAGAGGCCAAATTTGCTGAAGAGATCCTGATGACACAATACCTGCATAGCACTACACTCACCATAAAGCTGCTACCTTCAAGCTTCCACCCGCGTTCTCATCTTCACTTCCAGGCTTTTTGCTCGTATTCATATTGTTTCACTTCTTTCCCTCTCTCTTTTGGTCATGCTTTCTATCATGCTGATCCCTACACCTGGACCCACTCACCTGCACTCATCCATGAAGAACACTCCCTTCTACTCCTTCACACCAATATCTCCAGGAAAATCCTCTGTCCTCTATTTTCCTCTAAACTTTCCTCTGTCTTGTCTTACTTTTTTTTTGTCTTTTCTTATTTAGAACATCAGCTCTCTGAGGCAAAGAAAGTGTCTTATTTCTAGTCTGTAAATAGGCATGGAAATTTATGAGGCCATGGAAATATGTAATAATCAATAAACATAATGATAGTCCATTAAAATTCAAGCCTACAGCCTCTGCCCGGTACTTAGGCAGTTATTGCAAGAGAAATAATTTAACAAGGGCGATGTGAACAGAAAATAGCTAAAGCTTGCTAAATAAGATGAAATTTAAGAATCACCCAGTGGGAAGTACAAATTATTTACTCTAATAAAAAGTAAATCTAATAGTTGTCTGCTACATTCTTGGAAAAAATAAATTTCTGGGTTCTGATGCAAAGCTTGACAAATTCAACCAGAGTTTTTGCATTTATCACAACAGGCATTGCATCAGAACGAAAGAACAGGAAAGACAATTATGATTCCTTCTCGACATTGCCTTGCCCTTGGAAAATTACACAAGAAAACGAAAAAGGAAGACTGAGAATGAGTTAAAGGTTATAAATACCTGGCGTCAGGAGTATAACAGAGGTGACAATCAGGGAGCAGATAACCAGAATAACAAGTAATGCAATTGCAATTCCTTTCCAGTTTCTTTGTGGAGGATTACTTCCCACCAGCTCCTAAAAATACCAAAGGACAGGGAATTAAACAACAGCATTTGGACACGGAAAACGACAACATTCACATGGCAAGGTCCTCTCCCAGAACATGGTGATGACAGCAGCCCACTCAGAATACCGTTCACATCACAGGAATATGTTCTGTGTTTTGATTTACTCTCTCTGAATCAAACCATATGGCCAATAAATATGATGGGCACAACATATCTGACATGATGCCTCCTGGGCATGACTGCGTGGACTTAAGGCAGACCTACGGTCTCAAAGAGCGGTTGGGAAAGGAACTCACTGACGAAAAGTTGCAGCATGCTCCTGTCTGCCCCTCGACCCCCAACACAGCGTAGCTCTGCAGCCTGGCTGGTGTTCATCAAAGATAACGGCAGAGCTATAGCACTGGCCAAGGGTGCCCTTGGGGGCTGTTTAGTGGTGGCAGCTGTGCTAGTTCTGCTACCTCTGAATCACATCCCTCGGAGAGTCCAGAAGGTCAGACAGTGGTTTATTCCTCCATATGAGCACAGAGGGGTGAGTGGGCAGGAGCCCTGTCAGACATATACGGAGGCAGCTAATACTTAACGCTTGCTGTGGAGGGCTATGTTTTTCTGTTTACTCGGCAGAGCTGAAACAGAAAAGCAGCTAGATCACAAGGAAAATGAAGTGCTCGCTCTTCTGCAAGCAACCAAGGGCCGGAGAGCGAGGCGTGTCTGAATGAGGCTGCGGAAATCTGGAGAGGGATTCTGGTCACTGGATCTTACACCTGCCTCCAGCGCCCTCAGCACCTGTGCTGCACGCACTGGCTTTCACGTCCGCTCACTGTTGGACAATTTTTTTTTTAATCCTCCCCTCAGAGAGGCTCAGAAATGGCATTCAGAAGGCCTGAATCATTCCAAATCTCATGCTAAGACACCAGAGAGGAGATAGTAGGGAAAAAAGCAACTTCTAGGAGGGTAGAAAGATGTAAAATACACTAAGCTAGGTTGCGTAACATCCTTTTTTTGCCTTCTGAAAATGTATTTCACCCCCTTAGACTGCCTTACAGTCCCTGACACAATGGTAAGTCTAGAGCAGCTTAGGAGGGTCTGACTTATACATCATTGCTTGGACCTGGCCCTAAATGTTGAAGAAACCCCTACGCCGCTCTTCACCGAGAAGTCCGACACTGCTATGGTTGTTCCCTAAGTTTGTTCCCTGCATCCACTGCACCTCTGCATTTCTGGATGAGGTTTTTATGAAGTGTTGCATTCACATTTGAAACAGCTTAAATATTTATTGCGCCTCCTGCCTTGCCTTAGTTTCCTGGCTTGCACTGGTTTTCCCATAGCGCTCAACATTAATCTGATTTCATGTGTGCACTGAAGCATCTCAAGAAATTTAAGAAAGAGCAATGGACTCTGCTTCTTGGGCAGGTTGAACAATCACTCAATAAATCTGGGCTCACAGCAAAAGCATCACTAAAAGCTGCATCCAGAGCCACTATCACTAATTTGAGATTGTTTTTTGCTTAGTGCAAAGAATTACAAGCCCTTGCGGGTCTAAGGGGAGGGGTTGCTGGGGTTAGTTTCAGGAATCTCACTTTTTTATGCTAGCAAAACTGCCTCATAACACTTGAGTGTGCATGGAATTCAAAGGGTTAATTTCACTTGCTGTGTCATATTTTTGGCTGGAGATTGCCACCCTTCAGGGAAGGACTGTGGGGAGCTTGTGCAGCTCTCACATGCTATGATGTTTGAGAAATGCTGGCAAAGTACTAAATGCCAGGGTTTCTCCATTTCTTTTTCCATATGAAAATCTGTCTTCCAACAAAAGAAAAGGCTGGCATGTGTTTGAGGACTTGACCATCAGATGAGGTTATGAGTATAGGTTGGAAACCCAATGTGTAGGACATGAAGTACTAGAAGAGACACCTGTTTATTTCCACAGTCTGTTTTATTTCTTGGTATCACGGGACAACTGTCCCCTTTAAAGGATTAGGGACTGGAGAACAGTCAACCTTGATAATGCTTGTCTTTGGCTTGAAGGGAAAAATAATTAGAAGGAATAAATAATGTCTGTAATATTATTCATACTGGAAGAAGAAACTGAAAAGTAGGTCGGGAGCTCTGAGAGATGCGAGGTTGACAACAACTACTTGAACAGGAAATCAATGCCTTGCATTTATATGACACCTTCCCTCTAACCATCTTTACAAAACTTTAATTTAACCTTACAAGACCCCTGTGAGGCAGGAAAAAAAATATGATCCTTCTTTATCAAGTGATGCATCTCCAGATCAGAAGAGATGCCACAATTTCCCCAAGGTCACACAGGATGTCAGAGACAGAGTGGGCAAAAGAATCCAGGTCAGGGCACTTAATCATAGGTCCCCCTTCCTGTCACTTAACAAGGCCCAGCAGAAGCAGGAGGGATAGAAGAAATATGTCGAGAAAGTACTGTGCTGCACTGCCGGGCTCTTAACAGAATGCTTCTTTACATCTAACTAGGCACTAATAAGGGAGAGAGACCAAAAAACAGTACTAAGTATGAAAGATTGTCTTAGCTACAGCATCTCCTTCTCCTATTTACCAGAGGAAAAACCAGTGATTAATCCTGGTGACTTCAGAGCAAAATTATTCCCATCCCAATATACAAGGCGCAGGCCAATGAGTCATTATGTCAGTGTCACGGATCGGTTTTATTCGCTGGAGCTGGGAGTGTGAGCAGGCAATGAAATATTAACTATGAGTTAGTCTGAACCCCTTCATGGCTGATCATACTGTAAAAGTTTCTATGAGTTTGCAAACTAGGTGCATCTACACATGCCATTAATACACACTAAGGTTACTGCACATTAAAAAAGGCAGAGTAAACAGCACCCTGGAAAAAGGCCTACACATGCACTGGCAAGATTGCTTCCTACTGGAGTAGCTGAAACCAGAGATGTTCCTGCCCCCATGCACTGCGTGGCCCTGATGCACAAGCCAGGGGGAGCTTCAGCCTGGTTGGTAGGGGGCACAGGGCTGGTCCCAACCACCATGTGGGGAAGAGAGCTGTCCCAACAGCCAGGACTACTGCATCCCAGCCATGGGGGGGGTTGGACCCAATCCCCACAACCCTGGGAGAGGAGTCCCCACTTAGCAGGAAGGCCTGGTGGGGGATGCTGCCAGGTAGCCACATGGGGATCGGGAGAGACAGGAGAGGCATCTCTGCCCGGGGGGGGATTAGGAGGGTTGGGAGAGGTGTCTGCTGAGGGATGGATGCTGCCTAGTAGCCACATGGAGATCAGGATTCTCCCCACTTAGCTGGGAGAGGTGGGACCTTCCTAATCCCTGTAGGGTTGTCGGGCAGCATCCCTGCTGGGTAGGGATTCCTCTCCTGACCACATGCAGATCAGGACCCTACCGATCCCCATGAGGCTGTCAGGAAGTATCCCCGCTGGCTGGGAACACCTCTCCCAGCCACGTGGGGAGCAGGACTCTTCTGATTGCCATGTGAGCTGCCAGGCAGCATCCCTGCCAGATGGGGATGCCTCTCCTGGGCACCTAAAAATCAGGAGGGCCCTGATCCCCACATACGTATCCCCCCACAAGCAGGGATGCCTCTTCTCACCATGTGGGGATTGGTCCTAGCCTGGCCCCTACCTGCCTGAGATGCAGCAGTCTTGGCTACTGGGACAGTTCTCCTGGCCGTGTGGGATCAGGACAGACCCAATCCCCACATGGCAGGGAGACAGCTGTCCTTGTAGCTGGCACAGCTCCCTGCCACATCCAGGCTTAGACAGGCAGCACTGGGCACCCTGCTGCCTGGGAGCAAATTGCTCCCAGTCAGCATCTACACATGCGTTAGTGTGCATCAGCTAATGCACAGTAAATCTATGGCTTGAAAGACACACCCACTGAGTACATCTGGTTGTCAATAGGCAAGAGGCAGTGTCAAAGTAACACTGGCTCAGATTTGTTCCTATTGCTACTCCATTGGGTTTAGCTCCTCTTCATCATTCTTGAATTATTGAGTCAGTTCTAATTTGTCAGCAGGAAGAGGTGGCATGCAGTTGCACTGCTAAAGCACCGGACCCAACAGGAAACAGTCACTCGCTCATGATCCCTGACCGCCTGCACTCCACCTCCAATTCTAGAAGGGGAAGGGTCATTATTTCACCCTGCGCTTTTAGGCAGCTATTCTGGTTGCGACATGATGGCAGGAGAGAGAGGCAGCAGGGGGAGGACATGGGCCCCTGCCCCTTCCCTCTACTGCTCCAAGAAACGTTTCCTTCAGGGAATTATTGATCAAGTATCCCAGGCTCCACCTGCCATTACCAGATTCACCATCTCAGCAGGTCTGAGCATGAGTAAGAGGTAGAGGTGCTTAGTTTTCTTTACTCATTATGTGGCAGAATAAGGCCTCTGCAATCTTGGCTCCTTTGACAATGCTAGTGATAATCCCCCTGTGGAAAACATGCCCCTGCTACTCCAACATCTGTATCTACAATTTGGTTCACATGGCACAGCTTTGTCCCACAAGACTTGGAAACACCCTACACAGGAAAGGCTGGTTGGTAAGAAACTGTAGAGCCCAATAAAGTGGGGTTCCTTGTTTTAAAAATATCCTGATCATTTAACTTTAGAAAACAGAAGAAATGCCGGCCAAGCCACGCTTGACAATCCTTGCATAATCTGTAACATTCAATTTGCTTCCAGGAAAAGGAAAAGCAAGCTGGGGACTGCTTCATTATTCCCATGGAAACACATGATATGCATCTGCAGGTTAGAGTCTGGTGCCATTATAAAAAGAAGTTAGTTTACTTGACTTACACAACGAAACATTGCAGTAAACAAGGAAACTGCCTGACACCCCATCATACTGATCTGAAGCACAGTTATGGGTGGGAAGTGTAAAGCTTCCAAGGATAAGGTTTGAAAGTTTATGTCCCTTCATGCCAAGTCAGAGACACATCCAGTTCCCATTGAAAACAGTTGTAAACCTTCAGTAGGTGTCACCCTGAACATCCCAAGAGAAACTGTAGGCCC